GCGGAGTTCCCCAGCTACCCACTTACGCCGTGGAGGCTCATCATATATTTCGACGGGGTCAGCCCCGCGAACTCACTTGCATCCAAAAAACATTCACGCAAAGCTCAGAGCTTCTACGGGGCGTTCGCTGAGGTTGGGAATCGGGTGCGTCGGGGGGGTGCGGTTCATTGCAACCTGCGCCCAGTCGCTCATTGTTGAAGCCATGGGCAGTGGCGTCGCCATTAGTCAAGCACGTTATGAATCGCATCCTCTTCAATGACGAGTCGCATTACCTGGCGGAGACCGGCATTCGCTTGGATGCGCGCGAGGACGAAAACGATGCCAATGATTTCATCCGGCTGTTTGCGTATCATTACGGGACACTGGCTGACTTCAAAGCTATCAAAGACGTCCTCGGAAGCATGGACCACAGATGCATCGCGCCTTGCCCTTTGCGTCGAGACATCGCCAAGGACGGTAGACACGGCCTCCTCCAGTCGGGCAACTTGGAGCGCCAACTTTGGGAGCCGCGCGCGGACGCTTCTGCGCGAGGCTTGATGGGAGAACGGGTGGCTGCAAAAGCCCTTCAGGGTAAGACTGCGTTCGAAGAGTTGGAGGCCCGAAAGTGCTTCCACTGCGAACCCCACTCCCTCACTGCTGATGCCGCCATGCGGCCCATCAGCACCGCCATGTACGACTGGGCACGCATAGATTTTACCGCTGGGCTTTGCGGGCGCGATCTCCAGGCCTTTACTGATAAGGCCAAGGCGGCGGCGACGAACAAAAAACGCCTGGTGGACTACGCACGCCTGCACGTGTACATGCAGCGGTGGACATGGCCTCGGGGAATCAAAAAAACGTCGGGTATTTTCGAAATTAATAAGCTGGCTGCGACTGCGAGCAAAAAACTTTCCGCGACGCCGGTCGTCCAGATAGACTTTTCCCGCGTAGCTGCTGTGGGGTCATAGAGATGCTGCAGTGCGCATCGCGCAAACAGATATCAGCGGTCCAGCTGCATGATTGCATCGTGAAGCAGTTGCACAAATTCCGCGACGTTCACGGGCGAGGGTCCTGCCAGTTCAAGCACCACCAGGCTGCCAGCCTCCGCTCGCAGTGCCGAGACTTCGGTTGCCTGTACGACACTTTCGTCATCAAATGAAGGCATAAGGGCCCGAAAACGTTTGCAATGCACTGCCGTTCGAGAGGCATCTACTACACCAGGGGTCTAATGGAGGAGTTGTGCTGCCAACGTTTCGCAGCCCTGAAGGAATTCTCCACGCACGTTAGCAGCAACTGGCATGCGTTGCCGAAGGCGCTGCGCCTGTCAGCGAGGGAAATGTTTCCAGGCGCAAGCGACATCGAGATATCTGGCATTTTTTTTGCTGAGACGGGCGCGAAGTTCACCAATTTGGATGTCGTCCTGCTTGGCGGTGCCAGGCGCCGAGAATGCGGGGAAATGTGGTACCATTTCTGAGTTGACGGCATTGAGTGGACGTGCCTGTCCATGTGGACATTTAGAAGAACAGACAGCCGATATGCTAAATATGAGCGGGCTGAGAGGCCAACCCTAGTCCTGTCAAGCGAACTGCTGGCCCACGGGATGTGGCGATCCAGCGCCGACAGGGATGCTACAGTGATATGGCCTGTGCACTATCTGTTTGCGTGCGGTTTGCAGATCGGATCCCCCAAACCACGATTCCAACATCAACGGATCCTGAAATCAGTATTGTGGTTTGCGCGTACGCAATTATGTGGTCACCGATTTCGGCAACATCGAACATATACTTCCGGAAACTAACATGAGCAATAATGCTGTGAACGACATGGAAATACATACCTCCCAGTTGCAATATAACAAGCATTAGAATTCCGAACATGGAAATCACAAACTTAGGAAGGACATCGCGGAAAGCAGGAACCCCGCTACGCCAGTTACAGCCTACTTATAACCACTTAACTCGACCAGAACTTGCGCATCTAGTTATAACTAGCATAACTATGTATAACTGGCCGCGCCGCGAGCAGCAGTCAGGAGGCGAAAGACTCCAGCGCATTTCTTCCGAGCCGCCAAATAGTTCGGGGTTTTGGGCAACTCGCGTCCTGGGGTGCATTCCAGCCGGAATTTCGGAGGGAACCCAGGAACCCAGCAATGGCGACGAACACCTGCCGGAAGTCCCCCAAGATGCAAAAAAACTTGCAAAACAGTAATCCTGGGTCCCTCTCCCCTTCTAGACCCAGACATTGGACTATGTGTTTTTGCTCATCGGCGGCCTTCAGAACTCCCGACCACACTCTCCCCGTGGTAGTTCTTTGCCCCGGATGCAGTTTTGCGATGGTCCTAAAGCCAGAGAGCGGCCATCGAAGGCAGACGTGGCGGAACATCGTGAGGGAGATCGCAGTTCTGAGAGGGCATTAATCAAAATTGCCACGGGCAGGAGCAGGACGAGGGGGAGAAGAGGGGGACGAAGAGGAGGAGGAGGATAAGAAGGAGCAAGAAAGGTTGGGGAAGAGCAAGCAAGCCATCTCATTGAGTCTTTGACAGGTGACGATCACAAACAAACTCCAGACAAAAAAGATAGACTCTGAAGGGCGAAACTCGTCAGATCGCCAGAACGAAGATGCGGTCACCTCGTAGGCACCCCCCCCTTGGGAGGCACCCCCAGACGAGCATGCAGCTCAGGAGGAGAGGAGGAGGAGGAGGAGGAAGAGGAGGAGGAGGAGGAGAAGGAGCAGGAGGAGGATGATGAGGAGGAGGAAGAGGAGGAGGAGGAGGAGGAGGAGGAGGAGGTAGGCACCTCAAGCACTCCCACACCTTTTCGGTGTCTGCGCCGCTGGCGCGGTTTCAGCTTGTTCCGCTTTCGGGCCTGCTGCTGCCTCTGCTTTGTTCGTCACCCAGCGGTCTTCTCGCTCTCCATCTCTCCATTTCGGCTTCGAGCCTCTGGCCGCACGACCGACCGACCGACCGAGGAGGAGAAAGGCGGAGGAGGGCAGAGTAAGTAGGAGGGCGGACGAGGGCGGAGGAGGGTGGATGGGGTGGGCGGAGGAAGAGGGGGGCCGGAGGGGCGGCTGATTTTTACGGGGGGGGCGCACGGCGTCGCGTTCAGGCCAGGCGCAGCGCGCGCGCGAGCAGGGCAGCGGCGTGCCGCGTCACGACGGCGCCATGCAGAACGGTGTGCCCCATGCTCGGGGCTGCCGAAAAGGAAGGAGGAGGATGGGGAGAAGGGAGGATGGAAGATCGGGGAACAACAAAGGACATAAAGATAAACTTAGAGGGGGGTTAGTGCGGACTTCTCGGACCGGCGCTGGAGCCCCCTGGCGGCGCCTCTGGCGCCGCCCCTGGCGGGCTCCGCGCGCCAGGGAGGGGGGTCCACCGCCGATCCAATAAATCAGCGCGGACCTCCGAAGGTTTACGTTTACGTCATTAGTTGTTCATCGAGGGAAGAGCATGGGGAGAAGGAAGGGGGGGTGCCCTGAGATCCAGGCATCTCATTTTGTTCGCACCGAGCCTCTTCGCCCAGCTTCTGGCAGTGGGACCATCAAGGATGGGTCTGGCTCGAGAAATGCCGTCTAAGATGGGGTCGAGGGCTCTGATCGTGATTTTGCAAGATGGCACATTCTTTCGCGACGTCGGATCTCAGGGGATGACGGGGGCAGGAGGAGGGGCCGGAGGAGGAGGCGGATTAGGATCGAAAGTTGGAGGTATCAGATCGTAGGATACAGAACACATCGTAGAAGAGCATTTCGAACAACAATTTGAGCATATCGTAGAAGCTCGAAGATCGAATAATGAAGAATATTGAGCATCTCGAAGATCGAATAATGAAGATCGAATAATGAAGAATGATATCGAACATTGAGAGTCTAATATTGATCAGATCGTAGAATATATGGGCAATGTCAGCATATCGTAAAACGTGGAGTTTCTCTGATTATTCGTTTCGGGCCCCCCCTGCCGACGAAAGCCTACTGGGTGGGGACGAACGACAATTCCCTAGGGGAAGAGACCTCATATTGCCACAATTCACGACGTCGGAGGTTCCGGAACCTGGGCCAGTGGGCCACCCATTTTCGCGCTTCGCGATGCAATACGCGAGGCGGCGCCGGTCACCTTCGTGCCCTCGCGCAGGCACCCTGCAGAGGGCCACCTCTGCGGATCAGAACACGAAGCACAATTGCCTTCGCACCTATGCAGGCGAACCAGATCAGCCAGTGGGTTTCAGGAAATCGGCTGCAGACACGGTGCTGCAATAAGGAATGCCAGATAAGTGGCGAAGGTGCTTTCCTGGCCACGGCCAACCTCGGCCATGAGCAGGTTCTCTGTCCCAGATATAAGGAACTGATAACAAATCATGACCCCTCTTGACCCCAAGAACGGCCCTCATGTCAGTCTCGTGGCTATCAGGGGCCTGTTTTGGACCCCCCCCGCTTCGAACCCCCGAATGTCCAGTGGTGTGATTTTCCCGCGACCTGCACCCTTCAGGAAATCCTGGCCCCGCCCCCAGGACGATGTTCTTCGCCGCGGGGCCACTTTGTGGTATTCCTGCGACGCCCAACATCGGCCCCATGACGCCAAAATTGTTGTAGAACGTTCGCGCGTCATCTCCTTCGGGGTGCCGGAAACGTTTCGGTTATCCGAAATGCTCAACAAATCCGCCCCCCCGCCCGACGACACGTTCTGGCCCCCTGGACGCGCACCGAACCCACCCCCAAGAGCGACCCAACCCCCACGGCCATCCATGACCCCCTCTCACGCGACCAACGCCCCACACGCCTTGAACAACTCGGACTGCGGTAAATTCACGTCGCAATGTCGGCGTTGGTTTCTGACACCACGTGGATCGTCCACATTTGCACGATCGCGGCTTGGTTTTCTGAAAGATCCGGTCGTTCCATATCTGCCCAGTCCGGGCCGCTGCACCTTGAACGCCCGCGCAAGGGTCGTCGACGAGAGCCCGTCGTTGGCACGCTGGCTTTCCGGGCCGCCTTATCCTGGCCTTCCCCCGTCGGCAGCCCCAAAATGCGTGGTGGTTGGCGACGATCAGGTCCACCCGCTCGCCCACATCTTCGCGGTCCGCCTCCGCCTGAAGGAAAAAGTGAAAAACGAAGAGGAGGAGGAAGAGGAGGAGGAGGAGGAGGAGGAGGGGCTAGAATCCCGAAGGCAGGTGTAAAAGAGAGAAGACGCGGCGGCACTGGTAACATGGGAAATCGCAGAGCGCCCTCTTAACTTTCAATGTTGTAACAAAAAACATGAGTGCACGCTGTGAGGCAAAATGGCGGCGGGCGCGCACGCGTGTTCCTATCCGAGTCAAGGCTACAGGGTAACGGGGAGCGCCCTCCGCATAACCCATGCAGTTCCACTTGGGGGTGGCGGAAGCGGGGGGGGGCAACCAAACCGCCGCTGAGACAGCAAAAGGCCGTTCAAAACACAACCATAAGCACTTAATTGCACAACGATGCGCAACAACAATGGGATCTCCCATTGGGAAGGGCGCCGCGCAAAACCAAGTTGGCACAGCGGAGCCGTAGAGTGGGCAGTTCGGAACAACATCCTGGCGCAACCGCGCACCATTGCAACACATAGCGGCACAGACGCTTCGTGACATCAAACCATTGAAACGCTGCCAGCGGCCAATTCGGAACTTTCTGGGGAATAACCCAAAGGCCGACACGCCTGCAAGACCAGAGCGCTGCGGGGCCTGCAGGCAAGAGGAACCGGGCTACTGACGCTGGTGAGGCGAAGACGGGCGCGGCATTGTAGATGCCATGCGCCACTTGGGCAGTGCCCTGGTGAACTCCCTGCCAGTGCTGAAGTGGTATCTTACTGTGCGCGTGCGAAGGCGGAGCGGTTGCTCTGGGTGGATCACGCCGCGAAGAACGCTCGCGGCCGCAGTGGGCATAGGGTCTCGCTATGCGAATGTGCGCGTTCGTTTCTCCCAACCATCCTGTGGTGTTGGGCTTTCGTTTTGAGGAGACAGTGCCCGGCGCTCCTTCCTCCTGTCCTCCTTGTTCCCCCTCCTTCCTTCCCCCTCCTCCACCATGCGCCTCCCGCGCCCAAGAGACTGCTTCGGGGCCCCATGGGGGCTCAACGAAAGCCCCATCGGCTGCACTCGCATGCGGTTCGCCCATCCAGGACTGCGTTCCGCGTCTCCAAAAAGGTTCCCATCGAAAGCCCCAATGGCTGCACTCACATGGGTTTCCCCACTCAGGACAGCGCTACGTGGCCCCGTAGGGAGCCCCACCGAAGGCTCCAGTGGCTGCACTCGCATGCGGTTCCTCCACCCAGGACAGCGCTACGTGGCCCCATCGGGAGCTCCACCGAAGACCCTGGTGGCTGCACTCGCGTACGGTTCCCCCACGCGTTTCGTGGCCCCGTCGGGAGCTCCGCCGAAAGCCGCATGGGCTGCACTCGCGTGCTGTTCCCCCACTCAGACAAGCGTTCCGTGGCTCTGTAGGGGTCTCCACCGAAGGCCTCAGTGGCTGCACTCGCATGCAGTCCCCCCCCCACCCAGGGCAGCGCTACGCGGCCCCATAGGGAGCTACACCGAAGGCCCTGGTGGCTGCACTCGCATGCGGCTCCTCTTCTCAGGACAGCGTTTCGTGGCCTCATCGGGAGCTCCACCGAAGGCCCCAGTGGCTGCACTCGCATGCGGGTCCCCCACCGGCGTTTCGTGGCCCCATACGGGGTTTCTTCCTCATCCTACTGCCCCTCCTCCTCCTGCTCCTCCTCCCCCACTGCTCCTCCTCCATCCCCGTTTGTGCCACCCTCCCTCTCGCGCCTTCTCCTCCCAATGGCCGTGACGGGATTGCAGGCGGCGCGCATCATGTTTTTTCGCCACGGAAACTTGGAAAATTAGCCTGGCAATGGACCCAACCATATGCAGGTGTGGGTTACGCAGTGTTGAATCTCGTCTTCGATGGAGCTCCCGATGGGTCCACGAAACGCTGTCCTGGGTGGGAGAACCGTACGCGAGTGCAGCAATTGGGGCCTTCGGTGGACCTCCCGATTGAGCCGAGAAACGCGGTCCTGGGCAGGGGAATCGCGTGCGAATGCAGCCACCAAGGTCTTCGGTGGAGCTCCCGGCCACGAAACGCTGTCCTGGGCGGAGGAACCGCATGCGAGAGCAGCCACTGGAGCCTCCAGTGGAGCTCCCTACGGGGCCACGAAACGCTGTCCGGAGTGGGGGCCGGCATGCGAGTGCAGCCACTGGGGCCTTCGGTGGGGCATCCGATAGGGACACAAAGCGCTGTCCTGGGTGGGGGAACTGCATGCGCGTGCAGCCGCTGGGGCCTTTCGGCGGAGTAACACGAGCGGTCAGCAGGGGGGAGCAGGAGGAGGAGGATTCGGATGAGGAAAAGCTAGCTGGGGTGGAAAGTGAGGAGTGAGGAGGAGCATGAGGAGCACGATGAGATCCATGGGAACCCTATTCCGGATGAATTGGAATAACAGGCAAGAACATCTGAACTGGCTTGGGACTGCGCGGCATTCCCAAACATATATATTTTGAGAGGGGAGCGGGGGCCCAACAAGCCGGCGTATACTATGGAACTCTCGTTTTGAGGCGAATTGAGAAACATTGGTGAGAGAAATTTAAATCTTTTGAGAGAAATTGAAATACAATTCTCCGTTCAAACCGTGGATTAAGAGAAATTGAAACGAGAAAGGCGGTCCAGTTGAGGACAATTGAAACCGTTTGCGGTGTCCAATGGAAGTTTTCGAAAGAGTTTGATGGCAATGCGATTTGGGAGCATGAGGAAAGCAGCAGAAGGATGGGCGGCAAGAAAAGCAGACGGCGAGGACCCGATGGCATGGACCATGGCAACTGGAGCCAAACCATATTTCCCAAACAAGGGCAAACGGTAGAGGATGCACATGCCACAGGGCCTTGTGCTCGTTAGGGGCGCGCTAGAATGCAAGGGCTGTCTGGCCGGGTTTCTGCAAGTCTTCTCAGGGGCTGCCCCCGCCCCTCTCGCCGCAGAGCGCCGCATGCATCGGGCCCCGCTTTCCCAGTGAAGAACAAACAAATGTTCACTCCCGCAACAAGGATCCTCCGTGGAGGTACATCAGGTCCACGCTCTTGCGGCAACGACTCCTCGCAAATATTTGCCTGGAGATGGCCCTCACCATATGCAGTTGTGGGTTCCGCAATATTGTGAGTATTTCATATTCGATGGAGCTCCACAAGGGTCCACGAAGCGCTGTCATGGGTGGGGGAACCGCATGCGAGTGCAGCCACCGGGGCCTTCGGTGGAGCTCCCGATCGAGCCGAGAAACGCGGCCCTGGGCAGGGGAACCGCATGCGAGTGCAGCCATTGGGGCCTTGGGTGGAGCTCCCCACGGGGCTACGAAACGCTGTCCTGGGTGGGGGGGACCGCATCCGAAAACAGCCACCAGGGCCTTCGGTGGAATCCCCGTTTGAGCCGAAAAACTTGGTCCTGGGTGGGGGGATCGCATGCTAGTGCAGCCACTTGGCCTTCGATGGAGTTTCCGATTGAGCCGGGAAACGCGATCCTGGGCGGAGGGAACCGCATGCGAATACAGCCACTGAGGCCTCGTCGGAGCTCCCGACGGGGCCACGAAGCGCTGTCCTGGGCGGAGAGAACCGCATGCATGTCCAGCCACATGGGCTTTGGCGGAACTCCCGATGAGGCCACGAAGCGCTGGCGTGAGTGCTGGAACCGCATGCGAATGCAGCCCTCGGGGCCTTCTGCGGGGCTCCCCATGGGGCCACGAAGCGCTGTCCTTGGTCGGAGGTCCGCATGCTAGTGCAGCCACCGGAGCCTTCGGTGAAGCTCATATACGGGGCCACGTAGCGCTGTCCTGGGTGGTGGAACCGCGTGCGAATGCAGCCACCAGGGCCTTCGGTGGGGCTCCCCATGGGGCCACGAAGTGCGATCGTGGGTGGGGACGCGCCTGCGAATGCAGCCACCAGGGCCTTCGGTGGAGTTCCCGACGCTGCCACGACATGCGATCCTGGGCGGAGAGTATCGCATGCGAGTGCAGCCGCTCGGGCTCTAGGTGGAGCTCCTCTTCGGGCTACGAAGCGCCGACCTGGGTGGGGGAACCCCATGCTACTGCAGCCGCTGGGGCTCTCGGTAGCAAGCCGTATGGCGCCACGAAGCGCAGTACCCCTACAGAGCCCCGAAACTTTGTCCTGCGCGGGAGACACATGATGGAAAAAAGGAGGAGGGAGAAGGGGGCGAGGAGGTGAGGAGGAAGGAACGCGGGGCACTCTCTTCGAAACGAGGACCTAACACCACAAGATGGTTGAAAGAGGCGACGCTGGCGAAGAACAAGTTGGGGGATGGCCTCCAGAACCGCTTCCAAACTCGGGCATTCCGAAAACATCTGCCCCTTGACCCAGAGCAAAGAAAATATTGATCCCGCTGGTCCCGTTCCAAAGCGCACAATCGCAATGGCGTGTCCAGACGTAGAAAAAGAAACGCCGATAAATATGCACCCAGGCCCCAACCGCTTCAGTCACACGCAAAGTCAACCCAAAGCGACATCGAAGCGTTTTCAAACTGCCGCACTGGCGAAACTTATGAAGACCATGTCACATGCGCGGGCCGCCTTCCGAGAAATAAAAAGACGATCTCGCACCAGCAAACGCGCTCAACTTTCGCCCCCCCCCGCTGACGCCACCCCCAAGTGGAGCTGAAGGAATAACATCGTCTACAAAGGACCGTCCATAATGAGGTGCCAGAGCATCCACCGCGAGGCCTCAGCAACGGACGCTCGGTGCAACTCACCCATGGCTCAGGAGTCTAAGTCGGGACCTAATGCTCTGAACCCTGGGAGCCTTGCCAGCTCGCGGGCGGTCAGCCTGTGCGCGACACGAACAGCACTGACCCTGACCAAGGCTGTGGATCGCAACGAATTTCCGCCGCCGGGAGAGCCCAGGGACAGGCTCTTTACCCAGTGCGACCCGCCGATGTTGCCTCACAGCCAGGAGCGTTTGCTTTTGGGGGCCCGGCGCAAATCGTGCCCAGCGTGCGCTCGAGACGCAGCGCTGAATGCGCCTTCCAGCCAGGGCTCCACTTCCGGCGCGCTGCTGGCGTGGCAGCTCGCCTGCGGCGCTCT